TCTTTAAAATTATCTCGACAAATAATAATGTCTAGTGCAATTAATAAAAGCTTTTGGTTGAGTTAGATCTATAAAATAAACAAATATCTTTCAGAGATAATCAAATCTTGAGCATCTTAGATACATATTTTAAAAGTTCCAATGACCTGAACACGTGAGTATAGATCTTCTGTTCACTCACACCCCCAAAGTGTATGTTTTATATAAAATAAAATATCATATTTTTTATGAGTTACTAATAGAAATTAACCATCATTATCACATTTTTGAAAATAAATGTAACGTAACAAGTGCATTTTAAAAAATTAATTTGTTATCCTTGTCATTATTACGGTATCGAATGGTATAACAAACATAAAGGCAACGATAGATAATATCATCGATCGTGATGCACCTTACGGAAAATAACAATCTGATATACAAGGACAAATCCTTCGATTGACATGTGATATATTAATACTTCACTTCCGTTTTAAGTAACAATAGAAAGACTATATAAAAACACCTTCTTTTGTATTTTTACTCAAAATCGATTTTTTGATGTAATGATCGAACAGAAGACACATTTTCTCTCAACATGGTTCATTCCACTTAGAGAGCTATGTTTTGTTTAATGATTGATAGATATATGCAGAGTTCTTCAGATCAGAGAAATGAATGTTTTAAATAATCATCAATGCTAGATAAATCTTGAGCATTTTTTCAGACTTTTGAAGTTTCGATTATTCGAAAAATAAGATAGAGTAAAAGTAAAAAAAACTTCTTTCTTTCATCCGAAATAATAATGAATTCTCCTTTAAATCAAAACAAACCGAGCTGTGGAACTTGACATATATTGATAAAACATTTTGCAGGCGTAAAAATCCTGTTTTACAGTTTGATCCCTGGAAATCTCTTGATGGTAAGGTATGGAGACGTGAATTTTTTTTATTAATCTATTTTCATGAGTCGAACATCGATGCAAAGTTTCATCAACATCTCATATACCTTGTCGAAGTTAGGTTTCCCAAAGGGACATTCCTATAATCGATAATGCGTTTTATATTTTGTGTAATAAAATCAAAATATGTTTGTATTTCTTCATTTCATATCTCATCACTTCAAAAATAAATTTTATTATCATTAGCATCATAAGCAAATACATTTTATCTTCATGAAATAATCAATCTTTCGATGGTTTTCCATCATATTCTTCATTTTAATCAATTCATAATAATATCAATACAGTAAAACGAAGTTTTGTCAGATTATTTAGTCATTAAATGATAAATAGATACGATTTTATTTCAAATCAATAATAATACCAATAACAGCAATTAAATGCTATTCTCTATAAGTAATCACACTATGTATCAAAACATGATGTCCATTATAATCATTGTTTACAACAACAATAAATATTGGACTATGATTATTGTTATGTGTTGATTGTTGTTGTTGCAATAATTTTAAAGAAAAAGAAATTGTATTATTCAATAAAGTTGTTTAACCATTGATATTGAATGCATTTAAAAGAAAATGTATGAATAAATGATCATAATTTTCTTTGTAATTTTTATCAATTAAATATGTTTTCGAAATCTTAAATCATTATAATCTACAAAACTGAGTTTATTCAATGACACACAAATTGAAATTAAAAAAAAATCATTAGATGAGAAATAAATTCGATTTATCATTGATAGTAGAGATGTGCAGAGTTATCATACGCGGCTTTGCAGGATATGAAAAGGGTTAGGACATTTTTCTCTGTCAGGATGCAGAGTATGACAAAAAATTTACACTACATATCTCTAGTTTCTGCATTATCAATGTTTTGTTATATAGTTCGGGATCAAATCTTATCGCTAACAATTTACTCACCCTCAGATTTACACTCACAGCTAACAACCATACCGATTCTAGATCAAGCATAAAATATACTTGGAGAATGTATATAAAAGTACTTATCCAAAAATTGAAAAGAAATGCTTCATACAGAAGTAGATGTGAACACAAAATTTTCATAGCTAACCACATACATACAGTACATACCAATAGAATAGATATAGTTTGTGATATGAAATCTTTCCTGAAATTTTTGGACTTCTCCATCATAAAATGACAAGATTATTTTATAATTATTGTTTAATTAATTAACAAATTATCTAATTAAGTTCAATTAGATGTGACTTGAAAGAATTATTATTTTTTGCATATATTCACAGCAAAAGAACTTATTCAAAAATTAGTGTTTACTAAGGATCAAAGTCAAATCAAAGATGATCATATTTACTTTATTGCTTGGTTTTATCGATATATAGAAGAGAAAATTTGTTCTAGTTTTCTATAAATTACAATAGTGTCAATATCATTAATTTTGATATATTCTTTGTAATCACTAATTCAACATCAACTAAATAAGATTTTATGATATTGTAAAGTCCTTATTTGAAGATGTCTCGATGCCAGTTTAAGTCTCAAAAAATGATTTATTCTAGAAAATGAAATAAAACCATTTAAAGACATGGAGTATAACTCACATAATGAAATGAAATCCGAAGGAAAAGAAATAAAAGATAGATATTATTGGCGAGTTATCCAGGTATGACGCAGTCAACGAAAAACAAAACCAACGAGGTATATGAAAAACATCAATAAAACACCGTTGTATATTCTCTCAAACGTCCTTGTTATGTATTATAGAAGGGAGGCATCTCAATAGAGAATATCTTCAATACTAATAAGATGAACAAATACTTCAGCATTTCCAATATAAAGAAAAACATGAAAAATCAGATTAAAGTCGAATAGAATTTGATTAAAAATTGGTTAAAATCATATAGTTTTCATCCAATAATAATTGATATTAATAAAAAACAAAATAATCGAAAAGATCTTGATTATTTTGACTAATTTCAATTATAATCGGTAGAAAAACTATACAAATATTTTTTGTCATCAATTTTAGTTTTACAATAAATGTTAGAATCTTTCAAAACAGTTTTCTTTGATTTACATGAATTATAATTGATGTTTTCCATCAATATTAAATCGATTATAAGTGAAATTAATTAGAATTTGAGATAGACAGGAGTATCCTGCGCCATCCAACGCTCTAACGCACTCCTACTGCAGCATTGTACAAATTTCCATGGAACATATGTTGCGACATCTCATAGTTCTATTCATGTTAAAAGAGTATCGAAGAAACGATCTTACGTTTTCGAAACTTGTTTACCGAGCAAGAAAAAAGACGTGCGAAACGTGTAAACTTGAGCAAGCGAACGGGAGAAACCCTTCTAACTTTGATCAGAAAAATCAATGGAATCCTGTTGTTGTTTTTTTATTATTATCTTTTTTATCATATTTTATTACAAGCGTATAATTTTATTCGATTTTTATTCAAATTCCAGTCTAGTTAAAACTGATTTTCGTATAGTTTCTTTTTTTTTGCATGGATTTGTTACTATACTGTAAAAATAAAAAAAGAACTATTATTTGTCTCAATTAGTATGACAAACATCAATTACATACGTCATGATATCACGATCTATATATTTTTTAACGATGGCACGACACATCAATACATGGATTTTATCGTCTACGATGCAATATGATGAATCATTTATGTCTTATAAACTTGCATAAATTATATTCTGTATGCATATGAAAAGAAAAAAAATGAATATTCCTGTTCTCTTTCTTTCGCTTCTCACTAGTAACGCATTTTTCGATACACATGATTTTTTTTCCGTTCGTTGGTACATAAATTAACTATTTATTCTTCGTTATTTTTTTCTCTCTCATATGACAAATGATATTGTCTGCTTTAGATTTTAGAATTTTTTAAAGATGCAATCCGAACAAATAAATGAAAAAGCACCAATTGTACCGATGCAACCATTACAATCAACAACTAAACAAGAGTACGCACCAACTATTACTATAACAAAAACAAGAAGAACACTTCTTATTCTTCTGGGAATTCATATGGTAGAAAAAGTCTATAAAAACGAAAAGAACTTCATAATTCTTATAGGTTTTGGCATTGTTCTATTTTATTGAACGCATTGTTGTTCTGGCTAAATATCATAATGTGCACAAGGATGCGCGCAATCCTAACGTACCCACTTCAAATATTGGCAATGTAATTTCTGGTAAAATTTTCTATTGAAGTATTGCTTTGATTCTTTTTTTTTTATATTTAATTCTAGGTGCTATTTTGATAGTTTTTTTAATTCTTTACATTGTTATGGTGGTTAAATATGTTCGAATTGGTATTCTTATTGTATGTTTGCTGTTTTTTTGTTCTATACTATATATACAGATATCACCTTGTATTTTTGTGTAGTTTGCATGGTTGGGTATCCTTGAATTAGTGGGTCTTGTCATTCTCATCATTTTTGCAATTGTCGCAATAGCTACTTTTTCAGCTGTATTACATGATACTGCCGTTGAACTTGCTTTTAGTGTGACTCTTCTTATTATAGCAGTTCTTACATTTATTTTTACAGTAAGTGTTTATTTTATTTGTTTATTTTCATTTCATATTGGTTATTTCAGATGCTGACAGTTATCTTTTCATTTAAATTGGCCAAATTAATTAAAATCCAACACAATTATCAACACATCTAAATTAAACTCAAACATACTCCGAAGTTATTTTTTTATTAAAACTAAATTTTTTCTTTTTCATTTAATTAATCAAAATAATTCGTATTTATTGAGTAAAATATTCTTAATCATTTAGAATAAAACAATTCAGCAATCGCTTTAATTTCAATAAACAAAAATAACAATAAATATGTGAAAATAGAGAATATGGGAAAATTCAAATTCATATTATTTGTAACTTAGTGCACAACCATTTGACATTCAACTGAAAAGATTTTTATATATGTATGTCAGTATGATGATAGATTTTCTTTTGCAATACGTAGCCAAAAAAATTAGTGATCTAAGGTGAGTGGTAGAAAAAGTCTTAATTGATCATTTTGTAAGAAAAGTGAAAAGATAGTTTTTGATGAGAAATAACAGTATAGTGTGATAGTCATCGTAGATCATTAATTTCTCAATTTTGTTATAGACAAAGATCATTATCATACCATTTGGACAAAAATGCAAGTCTTGGTAACTAATGTCGGCGCCAAAAGTAAATGATGAAAACTCTGAGAGGAATATCTCCCGAACGGATGCAGCTAGCGACCTGCGGTTTTCACCAATCGAAAGAGGAGGAGTGGGGGCGTCTTTTTCTCCGATAATGTATAAGACGGAATCTTTTTATACCTAATCATATTCGAAGAACATGCAAAAGAACCCATGAAAATGACCTGCCAGCTAGATGAAATTTTGATTTGAGCTTTGGTTTAGATAGAGAAACTTGAGATCTATAATTCCAGACACAATGTGCTTTCTTACTTTTTCCTACATTTTTCTCGAAATCTCAAGCTACCTTGATAAAAAGTGTAAAAGCTTAGTAAAAAACTAGCGAAAATCCCTATGATTTGCTCATGTAAGTACATGATCCCATTTGCGCAACGTTAGAATGTAATAAGACAACCATTTGCGTTGTATCTGGAACTATAGATCTCAAGTCCCTCTATCTAAATCAAAAGTTACAATCAAAATTTCATCTAGCTGGCAGGCCATTTTCATGGGTTCTTTTGCCTGTTCTTCGAATATGATTAGGTATAAAAGGATTCCGTCTTACACATTATCGGAGAAAAAGACGCCCCCACTCCTCCTCTTTCGATTGGTGAAAACCGCAGGTCGCTAGCTGCATTCGTTCGGAAAATATTCCTCTTGGAGTTTTCACCATTTACTTTTGGCGTCGACATTAGTTATAGTTCTGAATAGTGCGAGATATTTTAGAAATACATAACACATGTAAAAGTATTGAAGTTGAACTTTCGATCTTATTTAACTTATTGCAAAAGTGTTATAATAGCTGAACAATAAGACTTCTGAACAGTTAGGATTTTTGTTATTGCTCGATTGTATCCTTTTTTTTAATGTTCAGTTTTGATGTATCGATGTACAGAGTAGAGTAAGGGTTAGAAAATTTATCTAAGTGAGGGCATAGGGTACGAAAAAAGCTTACCCTGCACATTTCTATTTTAATGTGCCATGTTCTATTTAAAAAAGCTTGTTAGTGTAGCTCCAAAGGAGCTGAAATGTGGAACTCACGTATATTCTTCAAACCTGCTATCCTCATGCATGATTCATAAACTGAACAATACTTTTTGTTCAAATATTTATGAAAGCATTGAAATATCGTATAGAATCTAAAGCCTATTATGTATGGTTGCTCAGGTCTGTAATGGCGGGGGAGGAGGGGGGAGGGAAGAATGTCTGTAATGGGGAGGTATGTCTGTAGTGTTCTCTTTCTCCGTTGCTAAGTATCTGTAATGGAGGGGAGAGCCGCCAAAACTTGAACTTAAAACTTACACTCACTATTTTTTTCGAAAATATATGTGAGTTCTACAAAATGATAGATAATTGAATAAAACTTACTGTTTAAATGTTTTCTTATGTAGTATTTTGTTAATTAAAATCACTAATGAATAATTGAATCTCTTAGATATCAAAGAAAAATTTTATCCGATTCTGACAGGAACTCATGATGTATTCATACTTTATTATTATATAGTTGTCCTACGAATATACTTCGCTAGATTACAAGAATGATCAATATTTCACAATTCTAATTTAATTTCTCTTTTATGAAGTATGAATTATCGAAGAATTTTTTTCAAAATTAATTTTTAAAATGTATGAATGTAAAGACGATGAAAAATATCTATGTTATAATGGAACTATGTATATCATTAGTTTTCGAGATCATGAAACAAATAAAGATTGTTTCGATAGAGCAGATGAGAATTCCATATTCATAGAAGATCAATTATCAGATTCGTTTTCTATGATATATTCTATCGACCCAGTGATATTCTCATGGGACGGGAAAACTTATCGTTATTCTCGGGTCATTTTCAATTCAAAAATTGTATTACTTTAGAACAATTGATGCAATTACAAAATGAATTCTAAGCGATTATTAAAAAATTCTATGTTATGCACTGAGATTCTCGTATATTTTCACAAATGACACATACAATGAAGAAGATTGCTTATCCAATAAGTGGTTGTTATCAAATAATTATTCAACAAAACTCTTATCATTTCTTGTTAAACTTAAATTTGCACAAGTTTAATCATAAAATAAGTTAAGATTGACACAAACATTCTATAAGTATACATCTGTATCTGATTATATCTTCAAGCTCAATGAAATATTTTTTCGAGATATTCTCAACTTAAGTATTAAAAAAAATGAAACACCACTTCTAATGAAATACTATCGTACCACTAGTATGAGCAAACTATTGACAAAAACAATGCCTTCAGTTACCATTGGGCAAGGTGCACATCTTTGATGTTTGCCTCCATGAAACATAATATTAAAAATAGGAGCTTTAGGTTTTCGTCCATTCTTACTGAGTACATTTCATCCACAAAGTCTATCTTGTTCATTAATCGGCAATCATAGTGAATAAATCAAATTCATATTTAGTTTATTGTAAATCATTTCATGAATATATGTCTAAACATTATAGTATCAATGATATCGCTAATTTTTCTATAATGAAGAAGATAAAACTTATCCAGATGACTGTTTATGGCGTATTTGACAACATTTATCATGTACATCACAAACAAAATCTTTATCATCTGCAGATGTTTGCTAAGATGACTATTATTGTAAGGATAACGAAGATATTTTAATCGATTGCTCTTAGCATCCTATATTTAAACTTTTTTTGCAATGAAATCAAAAGGCAAACCTAGAATGCATAACTGTACAAAAGTATTTTTTAACCCCATAATCGAACTTTCATATCGGCGTCGCAGTGTGGGAGTGCATAGCGCCCATTGAAGAGTTGCGATCCATGTTCGTCTTTGTCTACACAGCAGAATTGGTGTCAAAAATGTCTTCTGCGGTTGTAACATAAAAGTATCAATCCGATTTTTTTTCATTTATTTTCGAAGTCGTATCTAGCTTGTTGAGCTTCATTTATATCCGAACTCGAATTATCCAGGACGAAGAAAATCCATATACACTCGGAAAGGATCATATACACTCTATACTACGTCAATGGTCGTTTACTTGTGTGCTTGTTCGATCTGGATAGGCAACTCATGGTACTATCAATGTATTTCTCATGTATAATATCTTGAAAAAATATCGATCAATTGTAACGTTTACAATATCTTCAATCATTGTTGAAGTTTAATTTATTCTAATAGTTTTACTTAAACAAAAATAATTTCAAAATAATACTTTAAAGCTATTTTGAAATATCTAATGAATAAAACAAAACAAATGATCAAATTATTTAGTTTATTCTTTTATTTTATTGATATTGGAAAGCAATATCTTTCAAAAAAAAAATGACTTGAAATTGCTATTTAACTTATATTTCTTTCTTCTGAATTTATTGGAAAAGAAAAGAGAACATTGAATCTATGAAAGAAATGGGTGTGAAATAAGCTTTTCTACGAATAATAAATAATATTAAATAGTGATATTTTAGAGTATTTATGGTAATCATCATTGGTAGTTAATTCGATAAAATAATAAAAGTGAGACAGATACAAGTTAAACTATATTCTAGATTGAAATGAATAATTATAATAATAAGAGAATAAGTAATTTTCTCATGTAAATAAATATAGATTGAGTTCATTTTGCTTTTAATTCTAATGGAATAATACAACGTGGAATTTCTATCATTTTATGTAAATTTGCTGCATGTCGTTGATTATAAATATTCAAAACAATTTTTTGTCGATCATTTAATGTTGTATCATCTTGTTCTAATTTATTTGAATCAACATAATTCATAGCCCATTCAAGTTCATCATAAGTAGCTCCTATTTGATCTTCATCTGTTCGAGTATCACCAAAAAGTCCATCTGTTGGTGGTGCTGTTATTATTTCTTTTGAAACACCTAATGCTGCAGCAACACTACGTACTTCTGATTTTAATAAATCAGCTATTGGACTTAAATCAACACCACCATCACCTTTAAAAATTGAAATTTTTAAAAGAAATTTTTGTTTTTTAAAATAAATACTAACCATATTTTGTAAAAAATCCAACACCAAAATCTTCAACTTTATTTCCTGTACCAGCAACAAGATAGTTTTTAATTGAAGCAAAATAATATAAATTAACCTTACAAAAAAAAAAAAACATCCCATATATATAATAAATTAAATATGGAAAAAAAAAATAATTTTTACCATTCTTAAACGTGATCTCGTATTAGCAAATGCAAGTTCTGATGATGAATTTGTTTCATTAACTTCATTTTTTTTAACTGTTTTTTCAAATGCTTCAAAAATTTCTGTTAAATTAACTTCAGTTCCACTAACATTTGAAAAATTTGATGTAAGCCAATTAATATGAGAATGACTTCGTCGTACTTCATTTGATGATTGTCGAATTGGCATTTCCAAAACAAGTACTGGTAAACCCGTTCGAGCACATAATGTTGATACAACAGCCGAATCAATACCACCTGATACACCAACCACGAAACCTTTTGTACGACTACTTTGATGATAATCTTTGAGCCATTGTATTATATGTTCAATTACTTTTTCTGTTTGCATATTGCGTTGATCTATAATATGGTAGAATAAGTTGGAAGTCGACGAGAACAATGAATATATATATAAGAGAACACACAAACACGATCACGCTTGAGGGTTTTTCTTCTTTGATTTCAGTGACAAAAAAAAAGGGAATATATTTATAGGAAGAGAAAAAAAATGGTGTGCATGCTCGACTAAAATAAAAACACACTCGATGATTAAATCTGTCGACGTTAAATAACCAAATTTGACACAGTCATTCAAAGAAAGAAAAGAAAAAAAAATCTGTTCGCCAAAAATTTAGTGGGAAAAATTATTTTATGTTCTCTGTCATTAGTATTTTATGATTGAAGGTAACCAACCAACAGTTAACTTTTTTTATTCAAAAAAAAAACCTACTTTTTCTCTCACAAAACACAAACAATAACAATGGCATGTAGAAAAAAGAAATCTCTATTAAGAATAAAATACGGAAAGCTAATATATATATATATGAAGTAAACGTATACACATGTATGCGCAGAAACAAGAACTATTGAATGTTCAGAAAATAAATTAAAAGAATATTTCATAAATACTTCAATGTTTTTCTTTCTGGTAAAAACAATCAATGGCCTGAAGCAGAAGAAAAATGCACATAGAATAGAAAAAAAAAATCTGTTCGATGAAAAATTTGTTTTTTTTTGAAAAAGTATGATGAAACAAGAAAAATAATATAAACACTAAAAAATAATCAATATGTAGTCATAGTGTTTCATTATTGTATCTCAAAACATTTATAGTCGTATTGATTATTGATATAAAGAGGATTTGTTTTTGTTCATTTCGTAGAAGAAATTATATTGCAAACAAGAAACCAACAATAATATTTTGATTATATTTATATTTATCATTGAATATATCAAGTTAAATAAAGTTATCTAACAAATTCGAATAGATTATGTACAATGGTAAATTAATATTTCAATTTTTATTTTACACATACTACTTCATAAAACCCATAACGGCTTTAGAATAGTTTCATGCTGTTTAAATCGAATGTTCCTCCTATAGAAGCATTTGAAGAACAATAAATCTATATTTTCGGCTGTGATATCAGTATATTGAAGATAACAACCAGAAAACTCTCTTGAATATTTGAAGCAATCTTAAGTTGCATTATGAATATTTTAAAATTAGATTTATTCATGACATTCATATCAATAGTCTTGTACACATTGAAAAACGGTAGATTTTTGTTCAAGATAGTAATTTCAAATTCTTGATTCGCAATCATACATTTAATCAAATGTCATCAATACAGTCATTAGTAGCACTGGCAAATAAAGATTCTAACTATTGCAATAGACAACAAGTCTAGTGGACATATCATTTCAAACAAAGTAATGATAACGAACAAGTTTTGTTACTCTTAACTAAACATTTATTAACTTTTTTGTAATAACTTTCTTAATAAAATATCTATTGAATTTATTTGATTCATCAAAACAAACATTGGCATATCTCTTAGTCATTTTCAAATGATTATATTTGAACTTTGACATTATATTAAACGGTTTAAAAACAATCGATGAATTTGTTTCCTGTTCATATTTAGCAGGCATCGAACAAAAACATATTAAATGAAATGTAAATAGCTCTTCTAACTTAATCAATTAAATATTGAACCAAACGATGATAATACTTGTTAATCATATTATTGGATTATTGAACCTAAATATTCACAAAAAAAGAAAGAAAATGATGCACATATGATATTTTTCGTAGATGGAAATTAAAACTCTATAAGAATTTTTTTTTATGATGTTAACTCGTTTTTACAAAACAAGTGCTAATTAATACATTTTGAGCAAGATTGATTTTTAGAAACTTCTTTGATTAACTAACAAAACATCACAGGATCAGATCGCAAGTCTACTAACTCTTCATGTTTTTTTTTCAATAGGCTAGAAAGAAAGAACATGAAATTTCGCACAGTTCTGTTTATTTATTTTGTTTTGTTGAATGCAAAACAAAAAACTTTAAAAACTAAAATGTTCTCCGTGAGGAAGGGGATAGTCTATTACTTTTGTAAATCCAATATAGAAACTAATGGTGCAAGTCGAAGTAGATTTTCATACTCTACAAAATGACATATTGTTTATATTTAAAGTCAATTGCTTTCTTCGATTATCTTGGATTAAAAAATTTTAATATTAAAACTATTTAATCCTGGATAGTCTACGAAAAAAATCGACATTAAATATAAACAATACATCATTTTGTAGAGCATGAAAATCTGTTTCGATATGCACTATTAGTTGTCATATTAGATCTACAAAAAAAAATTATATAAATACCATACTTATCATCTAAAATACACAAAGGTAATAGATCACTTCGTTCCTTGCCAAGGACATTTTAGTTTTTGAAGTTTTTTGTTTTGCATTCAACAAAACAAAATAAATAAACAGAACTGTGCAGAATTTCATGTTCTTTTCTTCTAACCTATTGAAAGTGAAATGTGGAGGGATGGTAAACTTACGATCTTATTCGATGGTAAACATTATTATTAATGAATATAATTATTATAGTTGATTTTGAAGATTCTATATTTATAATTACAAAAGTTGAGAGAATTTCAAATATTTTTGAACAATGAAATAAGTTTTTTTTTTTTACTTCTTTTTCTTCTTTCTTTTATACTAGGTAGCACTACTTGAAAAGTAACATTGACAGATGTATTGCGTTCTTTTTCGATCTTTCGTTCTTTTTCTCTTCACTTAATAATGAGAACGAAAAAAAAAACTTTAACGAAAAAAAAAAAAGAGAAACCATTCTTATGCAATCTATCACATTGAATAATGTCGACTACATTCGATTCACAACTAAAATCAATTCTTCAACCACTGTCATCTATAGATGATGCAAATGGAGATCCTGTACTTGCTGCTGTTCAAGCAAATGATCACAATACTCTTCGTATTCTTGTTCGAGCTGGTTATTCACTTAGTTCTATTGATCAATCAAATGGACGATCTCTTCTTCACATAGCAACATATCTCGGTCATACAGAAGTTGTACGACAATTACTTAAAGAAGGAATTAACACATCATTACATGATCGAGATGGAAAAACATGTCTTCATGTTGCAGCTGCATATGGTTACAGTCAAATATTAACATTACTTCTTAAATATGAAACTCATGTTGAACATGTTGATTATGATAATAATACACCATTACATATGTCTTGTAAATTTGGTCATAATGAATGTTGTCGTTTACTTATTTATGCTGGTGCAAATTTAAATCCAATTAATCGAGATGGTGATACACCATTACATTCTGCTATTCGATATAAACATGCAGGTTTATTAGAAAAAAAGAAAATTCAAAATAATTAATTTGAAATTCTTAATTTCTTTTGTTTAGGTTGTACAGCAATATTAATTCATGCTGATGCATCTTTATATATTCGAAATAGTCATCATGAATTACCTATTGAATTAGCAAGACGTTTAGATCATCATAAAATCTATGATATAATACTTCAGAATCTTTCATTATCATCACAATCATCAAATCAATCTGAACCAATATCAACACCAAATTCATCTATAACATTAAGTGATTTTGAAAAACAATGGCGTCAATTTCATTTACTTATTCAAACACGAATGCTTGCTAATCAACATCAACTTGAAGAACAAATTGATTCATTAAAAGATGCTATGAATAAAAATCAATTAAAACAAGCTATTATTCATCGAAAACTTCAAACATTAACGAATTTATATATTCAACAAAACAAACAAGGACATCAGTATGATACATTATTTTAGAAAAAAAAAATTAAATACTTCTTCTTTTTCTTTTCGTGGTAAAAATTATAATAAATAAAATTATTTTATGTTAATTTATAATATTGAAAATCGATAATAAACATAATCTCTATTTGTTAGATAAAGATCGAAGGATATTTATCATGACATTCATTTCTGTTTTTTTTTATTCGATGAAGAATTCTAATACTTATTTTCTTCTTGTGCTGTAATTTCTTTCGCAGTTATGTTTATACTTACGGAAGGATATATGCTTTTTTTTTGAAAATTCTATGAATACAAATCTGTTTTTCTTTTCATGATCTTCATTCAACTGCATAGATGAGATTCTAAAATGATTATTAATGGTTTCAAGTAGCTCTATTAACTAAGGTAAATCTATTCCTTTTCTCCTATTAATAAATTTGAAAACTTCTTGAGAAGTCTTCTGAATGATTCTTGGAGAGATTCCTAGGTAGCACAAATTTTAAGAGAGTACGAGAAAAAGATAAAACCTGCTGATGAATCACTGGAGATTCTTTGAAGGAATTTATGAGACAATGCTTCTACCAATTTTATTGTACATTTGTCAAAGTGTATATATAAGGCAGTGAAGATTCAACAAGAAAGAAATGTTTTTTGGACTGATTTCTTTTCTAAGTAATAAATATCGTTTAGGCTTCTGTCTGAATACATCCGACATAAGGTTATCGTTTCAATGTGATTTAAGTTTTGAACCAAGTACTTCATTTATTATGACGAGACTTACTGAGTAAATCAGGCAAAAAATTCTTTGAAACAGAGACAAACGTTTCCTTTTGTATTAGGTGAATTCTAGTTGATAATATTCAAAAACAATAGCACATACTATTATGAAAATGAGCATAGAAATCAACTTTAGCGGTTATCAGGTTTTTTTGTTTTAATGAAACTTCTCAACAAGTTCTTAGTAAATTAACGAACACTTCATTCTAAATCTTTAGAGAATTCCTATCGACATTCCTCGAAGAATTTTCAAGCAATTCTCTGAGAATTATGTAAAATAAAATGGATTAGACAATTGACAATTGCATACATTTGTTTATCAATTTACAAAGACTTGTCATACTTGAAAGTAAATTTCATTTTTTAATATTTTTATCTTCCTATCATTCAGTATTCGTTAGATTTTCATTGATTTCTCGTATATTTATTAATATAGCTTAGAATCGAGGCTTCTACTAGAATTATTCAAATTCGAAAAGTATTGTTTTTTCTTTATCAATAACATCATTCTTTACATCTCTAAAATATATATATTTTAAAAAAACTAAAGGAAATTGCTTCTTGTATATTTTACCTAAATAAATAAATCAAAGGAAAAACAAAAAATTAAACATTACTAAGATTTCGATGCAATAAACTAATTAGTTATTTAGACGAAGTACTAAACACATGTACATATTGCTAGTGAACCAAGTTTAGTAATACTTTTCTATGAGACATTTAGTTCTAGATGCGAGATCAAATTTCTACATGATAGGCAATGTCGAAAACAGGCTATTGCGTATCAAACGATAAAACCAACTTAGGAAAATAGCTTCATATTAGATTCTTCTTAACATGCATACTAAATGAAATCTATTCACTCATCAAACATCGTATTATCTCTTTGAAAATAGTATTTAGTGTTGTGCACACTTTTTTTTACTGATGGTACGGTTTATTCGATGTAATGAATGGAAGTGAAATATATTTTAAAAAAACCGGTTAGAGATATTAGTAGTAATCTTAGTGTAACACTTATAAAATGAAAATACAAAAACAAAAGATTTGATATTTTTTCGTTTGTAATATAAATATCGAGAAAAATCAATTAGTGCTATTTAGTTTTTTTGCTTCTGATAAGTTGAATGTAAGCTAAAATAAAAAATAACATAGTCATGAGTGTCAATGCAAAAAAGTTCTTCCATAAATCCCATGCATTAGCATGAGCGAGTCCTCGCTTATTAAGTATTTCATCACCTGACATTGGACAAAAATTGGTTTGATTTGGCCAACAGAAAGTAAGATCTTGAAATTCGTTAATAGTAAGTACATTCGAAGCATATCGAAATGCACTAATCCACTGAATCCACGAGAGCCAAACAAAGACACTTGGCAAATCAATAAGAAATCCACTAAACATCATCATAACGACAAGAACAAGAATAACAATAATTAGAGCCACAGCTGCAATGAACAAATATAGAAAAATATGTATTTTGACAAAAGTTATAGATAGCTGTTGCTCAATACAAGCTAAGTTCAACTTCAACAAATATCTAATAAAATCCGGCATAATCTAATCATTTGTTAATTATCAGACTAAAGATCCGAATCTTTTCCTGTTTTTCTATTTCCTAAACAAACAATCCTTATGTATTAGATATTTAAATATTAGCAATAAAGTCATCATTTTAACCATATCCTGTTTTCTCTAACTAGAATCCAAAGCGAGACTTATTATACTTTTAGCTTCTATTTAATCATGTAAAATCTTTTTGTTATAATAATATCTGGAACATGCCTATGAAAAAAAAAAACCATGATCTTACCGAAGACAGATATGGTAGCTGAAATAAAAAAGCACATAGCTGATCCAAATAGACCAGCCATGAAGGTTGTTAACAGAAAAATAAAGAACTGGTTACCGGTTCGAGTTAAGCCTATCATAAAATAGGAAATAATAGAAAATAAGATGGCTGGTATTACACGTATAGGTATCAAGTCGCATACTAATTTGGCAATGTAAAACGTGAAGATTCTATAGTAACCACTTGTATGTTCCTGAAAGACATGAAATAAAATTTTTTCATTGTAGCATACGAAAAAATTACGTGAATGAAAAGTACACGTTCTTTGATGAGTGGTTCAAGTGCTGTCAAATTGCTAAAAATCTGACTGATGACAATGAAAAAAATTGCACCAAGCCGATTTTGAACACCAGGTTCAGTTGTTTTCTTCAAATCGTAGAACAATAGTCCGACTAACAAACCAAGAATAATAGAAACAAGAGTTTGTGACAATGCCAATGCTGGATTTCGCATAGCATTACGCAATGTTCGCTGTGATAAATAAAAGATTTCTGTTCCTATTGAACAAGTTGCTTTGACCTTATATTTTCGTCGTTCACACTCAATATTTTCACTACCGATTGAACTGTCTTGTCGATAAAACAATGGCAATACGTCTGCATGTGTAGTGCTATATATATTACTCAATCTTGTCAGCGTTTCTGGCTTTCGACTAACATCTATTAAGACATCTAGCGCATAATCAGCTGGATTTTCATATGGCTCCCATTGATATCCATGCTCTGCAAAGTATGGAACAACATCTTTAGCTGAGCCATGATAAACACATCGACCTTTGCACATGAACATGACTGTATCGAATAGATTAAAGATGGAGGGGCGCGGTTGATGAATAGAAAAGATGATGGTACCTATGATTCAACAGAACATATGAGTTGTATACTTTTTTAGCAGTATGAATTCAATGATAATACTTACGGTCTTGCCGAGATAGATCTTTTAAACAATGCATAAGGTTTCTTGCTGTCGATGCATCGAGTCCTGCCAATGATACAATGATTCTTTATACATAATATGACTGAATAAACTACGATTGTAACATAATGTTCTCTTCGATAGTCATACTAATAATACAAGGTTTCTTTTTCTTAATTGTTATTTGATAAATAAAGTTCAGATACCTATTTATTTATTTTCTGCTTTACTCATTCTAACTCATAATTTTGTATTATAGAACGAACTGATTCTTTTATAGATTATGATGTTGAATTAGTCAGTATATTGGCTAACTAATCTCAATGAGAAACCTATAATAATAATGTCCATGATTATTTGTCGATCGAATGTGTTATTATTCAATTCTTTTCGAGACTAAAAATTTAGGACAATGATCTCAATATGAGCGTTCAGAATGATAAAGTTTTAGATTCGAACAGTTGATCTAACAAGTTTCAAACAGTGTTGATTGAAAATTGTATAAGAAACATATTAATTCTTCAGTGCTAATCAAAAGTCTGACATATGTAAAAGTTCAAATGAAGTAAAACCGTTTCATATCTATTTTAGTCAAGAGATGTAATTAACAATTTTAATTACAAGTATCGATCTACGAAAATGAAGTTAGAACTCTAACAACACTGTCGACATCGAAGAACTACTTAAGACATCAGAAAGCTTTTGATCTAGATAGTTTCCTGATCACTTTTCAGCTTATTGTTTCTCACCACTCTAATACAAGTTTCGCGATCAAATTAGTTGCCTCACATTCTATTTTTTTCTCATGAATAGAATATCTACAATGTAAGACACAACGCACTTGAAAACAATCGGAAAGATAGATTCATCAACTCTTTGAAACATGACATCTAGTCCATCGAAATTAATAATATTATTTGATGTTGAAATTCATCTTTTAGATGATTATATTCAAGCTCGAACGAGTATTGACTTTGAGAACTCTAGTGCATTCTTCATATATGACTTATATAATCTTGCCTGTTGTTGGTTCATCAAGAAACAAGATCTTGGGCGATAAAACTAATTCCATGCCAATACAAGTTCGTTTCTTTTCACCACCAGAAACACCTCGAAGAAATTCTGTACCTACACGCGTATCAGCACAAGCTTCAAGAGCAAGTTCACTAATAATACGAGAAACACGATCGTTTTTTTCAGTTGTTGGTACTTCTTTTGGCATACGAAGATTAATTGAAAAACACAAATTTTCACGAACTGTTAATGTACCACTGCAAATATCTTCTTGAACGACATAGCCGACCGTGTATCTAAAAGATGGATGACGTGGTTCATTGTCGACTAGTACAAATCCGGACATGCCTTTCGGATCTTTTCTATCAGCTAGAACATCAAGTAATGATGATTTTCCACATCCAGAAGGACCTTTTCAAATCAAAATCAAACAATAATTTTCAAAGAGAAGTGTGAACGAGATTTTTTACCGAGTATAGCATTCATTCCATTCATGAATTTTCCTGATAAATCGAATAGAATTTGTTTCGGTTCGCGAGCTTTGAAGAATGGAAAAGTTCGATTTTTCCAACATCGTTTGCTTGATTCTGCTTTGGCTTCAATAATATAATTGATATTATGGAATGAAAGTGTAGCCGGAGCATTTTCAGAAATTGACGCTACATCGACACTAGATTTGCTGTGAAGTGATAATGAACGCTTTGCTCCAAAGTCATAAGAACAAGTGCTATTCGTAATGGAAGGACTTGTAGATACAGCTAATGTAAATATCATTTGATGGAGATCGATATCCGAACTCATTTGTCTATAAGAATAATGAAAAAAAAATGCGACAGAAAATTTTGAAATCCATATTTTGAACTTTTTCCTGCTATTCATATTTTTTTTTATCGTGCACAAAATATCATTGTCATGAAAAGATGCCAAATACTAGATTAAGCACCTAGTGTAAAAGTTTAAAAGAACTCTTACCGATTTGTGATGACAGTAAAGAACAATTTTCAATGATTGTGCAGGATAGTGTACACCTTCCTTCGTCACTCCTATTCACAGCTACTCTCAAGAGAAAGACACGTATAACAAGGCGGAGAAAATGATAAGACTGCTTTTGCATCTAATGCGGTAACCAAATGAAGAAAAATTTCCAGCCATTATTCTGAATTTAAGGAGGCTCTTCGGAATTGACTTACCACTTAGAATGGATCGTTTAGGCTGAAACTTTCAGGAATGAGTAATCCTAGTGAGAAACGCTTGTGGAAAAAATTCCAGCCTGATATATCCTGCTAAACAGAATTTCCGATTTGTTTTCCTACCTTTCACAAGAATCGAAATAACTCCGTCGTTATAAGGGGTACAGAACTTGTCCTGGTTTCAAATTACAGCTAGCCTCTGTGCGCAACTTTTCATCGGACGGAATTTTGAAACGCCCTTGCATTCATTTTTTATGAGCATTTTAATAGACATGATGTTCAAAATAAGTACAAAAATATGTCTCTCCACAACAGTAAATCCTACTTTTCTCAGTCCAGGAATCAAGTATGAAAAATCTGTCCGATGAAAGGTTAGTTCTGATTAAGATCTTTAAAATAAAAAACAAATATCGGTGATACCTCGGAGCCGAGAGGGAGTTATTTCGATTTTTCTGTCTAGAAAAATGGCAACCCAATGTTTCCAAAACTGAAGAACTTTAAAAACTACGAAAATTTCTCTGAAAATGTAGTAGTAGAGTCAAAGATTCATGTGATAAGTCTTTGAAAATCTGGCCATTTTCCCAAAAGTCATATATATTCTGAAAGAGGAAACATCACTGCACCTTTCTGTGATAAAAAGTCAACTTCGATATTTCTTTGAAAAATCCAATTTTCTCAGGTGGCCCTATAATTTAGTTTTTTTTAGGGGAAAAACTAAGTATGTTATCATTTATTCAATACAAAGACTTTAATAAACGTTACAATGCATTTTAGTTGAAAAAAAAGTTTATTACCAAACTTACAAAAGCTCAAAATGGGTGACGAAACGTAAAAGAGGCTCTTCTTTCAGATATAAATATGGGTCTTTTTCAAATATCATAGTAGGTTCTTAGAGAAAAAAAAAGTGAATGACACAAAAGAACACAGAAAGTTTTGTGAAGAATCTTTTGGATTTCAGTCGGATATTAAAAGACTTTTGATAGTTATGCGAACTTTGTTTTGTCCTAAAGAAACTACAATAATTCTTCAGAGCATTTATACATTTGGATTTACAAGAACAAGTATTTTAGATCCTACAGTTTATGTGGAACCTTCATAGATTCGATAAAATTTCTTTTTCTTTAACAGTATTTAGTCGTATGCGACCATTACGGAAAGAAATTTTGCTATTCGTAAAGACAGATGTAATATAAATAGAAGTTTAACGTAAAGCAAACGATGAGAGGTATAGAGTTTAGATAAAATACGAGATATACAGCTAAAGACTTTTATGGATATGCCAGATTGCCTGTTTACGGTATGAAAATTAGAAGTTTAGATATGGGACAACGAATATAGCATTATAAGGGAACGTAATATAGATAAACGCATAGGGTATTGTCTAAAGCGAAATAACATATAGAATTTTGGAATGTAAATTGGTGAAGAATAGAATGAGAGAAGAGTATATTTATCGATATACAGGTGTGCAGTATATACCCAAAGATGATCGTACAAAAAATTCGTATTTTTTTTATCTTATGATGTTTGACATGAGAACGTTATTCGATCTGTGCAATGTGATTAAAAGTAAAAATAAATCACTTTTTTTTTCACATTTTGCTATATTAAGTCAATAAACATATTGGATAAAATATCACTTTTTTCAAGTAAATACAGTGTCGATTAAGCATAAATAGAATAACAAAAAGAAACATGTAGGCGACGATTGCAACCATATTAATCATGATGCCTCATGTGCAACCAAATCCTTGTATAGTAGAATCGAATTTCGCTGATCTTTATCAAACAAAGTAAGTATATATGTAGGACATGAGATCAAATTTTTAAAAAAAGATAATCATGAATAAAAAGTGTATTGAACACGTACAGTAAGGGTTAGCAAGAAATAAAAATTTCAACTGATGTAAGTAGAAAAGCAAGATTATGAATACAAAATATATCAAGTTTCAAGATTTTGATGGTTTTGAATATAAGTCATAACCAAACATAAATATTTACATTGAATACAACAAAACACTGTCGAAATGTGTCAAGATAGTATACTGTTATTTAAAAAAAAGTGAATAGAACCGAACCTTTGTTATCGGTGTACTATAACTTTTGTAAACAATGGAGTGAAATTCGGCATACTGTTAATAAATTGGCAACTTTTTCAAAAGTCAATGAAATCAGAAACTAAAACTTAATATAAAGGTAGAAAGTATTCTTAAGGATATTAATCACTTAGCTTATTTGTCATTGAATCTTTTTAAAAAAACCTTTAGTATATTTCAATAATTGTAGACTATCAAAGAAAAACAGTTTCGAAACATTAGTATCCATATTTGAGAATACATTCCATTCCACGATGTTGAACATTCCGGAATCAGTTCCCGTCCCGGAATCTATCCCACCGATTCCGGAACTGAATTCAACCTCCCCACAATCCGATTCCAGAATCATTTACAGCAGATCCTATCGATTCCGGAATCGCTCAGTCTTGGCATCATTCTCATCGGCTGAGGCTTATAACTGCGTCTAATTCTGGGTATCGGACGGATCCGGAATCGCAACGATTTGGAAAGAATTCCGTGGAATTCTTAGTGATTCCGGAATCGCTCACTCTTGGCATCACAGTCATCGGCTGAGGCTTATAACTGGATGCAATTCCGGGTATCGGACAGATCCGGAACCGCAAGCATTTGAAAGGAATTCCGCGGAGTTCCCAGTGATTTCGGAATCGCTCACCCTTGGGATCACAGTCATCGGCTGAGGCTTATAGCTGGAGGGTATGGATGTGAGTGTGGGTGTGGATATCTTCTCATTACACACACACACACGCACACGCACACCCGCACCCTCATTACATCGGTAAAGATTGATAGAATAAAAACACAAGTTGTAATTCCGAAATTGGACGGAATTCCAACCAACTCCCACCGATTCCGGATCCGCTGAAATCCGGAATTCCTAAGCGGAATCGGATGGTCATTGCATCGATAAAGATTGATAGAATAAAAACACAAGTTGCAATTCCGGAATTGGATGGAATTGGACAGAATTCCTAGCAATTCCCACCGATTGCGGATCAGCTCAAATCCGGAATCGCGGGAAATGATTCCGGGGTCGGAACTGGTTCCGCAATGTTCAACTTTGCGGAATAGGATGACTGCTCCCATATTTTAGTTTCAAATAATTATAGCTTTACTGACGTGAGTAGAGATCAGAGCTATTATCAGTACTCGTATTATACTTAATCTAGGTTCTCAATAATAGTTTTACGTATTGTATGAAACGCAAAGTAAATAGAATAATTTTACTCGTTGTCTTCCGTTGTACAAAAATATACGTCAATCCTTTCAATCTATTGACAAAAAGCGGACAAATGGTCAATAGTATTTAAATTTATAAGTATCAACAAGTACGAATACTTGATGTACTTGCACATAATTTTTTATTGATTGAAATTCGAATCCAAAAAGTGTATATACACCCCTGAGCAAAAGTCTTTCCCCCCCCCCCCTTTTTTTTCAAACTTTTAATATTTGCTTTCCTTTTATTATCGAACTAATGTATAACATAAGTACGGCTACAGACAATAGTCCCTCTTGCTTCTCTTTGTTTCTATTTGTTGATTTGGATGACCCAATCTTATGTAATAATTGTTAATATGTAAAATATGGACTGATATTGGGAATAATTTTTATCATTATTCTTTCATAAGTTTTTAAACATGCCACCTTCTCTATCACAACGCTATGAAATTGTGTTTCTCAAGCTACATCCATTGGGTCCTAAAATGTCAAACAAAGCGATCTCAAAGTACATTGGATGTGAACCAAAAGTCGTACGGTATTGGCTTGGCAGATGGCAAGAAAATGAAGATCTATCCAATTTACCAAAAACTGGTCGACCGCGTGCCACGTCGAAGAAAACAGATTTAAAGATTGTTAATATTGCTAAACGTGAGCAGAATATTAGATCAAGTGATATTTCAAATGTTTTAAAAAAAGACGGCGTGAATATAGATCCAAGTACTGTTAGACGTCGACTACATGAAAGTGGTGGAACTTATGGTCCACCTTTAAAAAAACCCTTACTCACAGACAAACATCGTGAGCAACGACTCGTTTGGGCTCGACAACATCAACACTTCAATTGGGACAACGTGATCTTTACCGATGAGAAGACATTCAAGCTTAAAAAAACGGAAGAAAAGTTTGGCGATTTCCAGGTGTTACTAAAATTGTTCGTACAGTTAAATATCCTCTCAAGTTGCACGTCTGGGGATGTTTTTCAAAACAAGGTTTCGGAAAATTAATTACTTTCAGACATAATTTGACAGACGATTTTATGTGCGACATATACGAGAACTGTCTTCTGCCTGCTGCTTATCGTCAATTTCCTGAAGGTCCAGATAGCTGGATCATACAAGAAGACAATGATCCTAAACACAGGTCTTGGCAAGCGATTGACTGGAAGACCGACAATCAAATTCAAGTTCTGCCTTGGCCATCTGCATCACCTGATCAAAACCCTATTGAGAACGTTTGGTCGATAATGAAGGATACAATAGGTAAAAAAAACATTCAAACAATTCAAGAGTTGGAACAAGAAATAAGAAAGACA